TTTCAGGGACTACAGAAGTCTGGCCATCTTGGTTTCTAAGGTGCATTCTAGCTGTACTTTTCCCAAGAGAGATTTTTCTTCTACTACTTTTTTGTTTGTCCATGGTACTTTTAAGGAGCTCTGGTAGCGTAATGGTTACAAATTGGACTGCTAATCTCAAAGTCAGCAGTTCCAAAGTACCAGCGGTTCTGTGGGACAAAGATGAGACTTTCTGCTCCCATAAAGATTTACAGCCTTGCTATGGGTCAGCATCGACTCGACAGCACTCTCAACAACATGGTACTTTTTAATAGTCTTCTCCAACACCACACTCAAATGCATCAATTCTTCTACAGGCTTCCTTATTCACTGTCCAACTTTCACTTGCCTCTGAGGCTAATGAAAGGATGAATATATTGAATACACTGATCACTGACATTCCCCAGTAATCCTACTTTTTCTTTGTGAATAAAAATAACTTTCTATTTGCAGCCCAGGAGCAGAGATCCCTGGAACCATCAAAGGAGAAAAGCCAAGTGCAAGACCATGTCCAGAGAGGCAGCGACACTAGGGATGGAGGCAGAGGCAGAGGCAGAGGCAATGACGTGGCCAGATGGAGTGGCTGGGGACTCTGGACTCGGAGGGAGAAGAGGGCTTGTGTGCTGGTGGCTGGGGGGCAGGGGTGTGGGGTGTACCCTTTGGGTGTTTGACTATGCATGCAGGGGATTGTGATCATTGCAATGAAACAAAGTACGATAGGATGAATGTAAAGATAGTGTTCATCCATGTAAACTAACACATAATTCACAATAAAAACGTAAAAATAACTTTCTGTATCAAACTCCTAGGACATCTTTTAATGTACAGCCTTCAAAATTTACTATATATATATATATATCTATATATATATATACACACACACACATATGAAAATCAGAAAGTATTGCTACTAAGGTTCCAGTTTAAACATGTCTCTGAGATCAGCAGATGGCTGCAGACAAATTCCCCAGTAATACACTTGTCTCATTAAATCCACTACCATCCAAACAGAGCAAGCCTATAGAACAGTAGAATTCCTCCATAGGGTCTCCCAGACTGTAAACATTAAGGGAGCAGGCAAGCTCATCTTTTTTATCAAGGAACCGGCAACCTCGCAAATAACAGTCCAGTGCTTAACTCACCATGCCACCAGATTCCCTAACGTCTCATTAGTGTACCTTCAAAAAGAAATAAAAAGACTTTTGTGCCAGGGCCAATGTCAAAATTTTAATAGTACTTTAGTAGACCGATACCTTCCCAAATCACTGAAGCTCTGCTACAAGTTTACAGGAAGAAATGGTGTCTTAAATAAAACAGCAATGCTTGAAGGATCAAGCTTTTTAAGGTTGGGAAGGCCTCTAAAATGAATTCAAGGCAGAGAGATCAGCTCAGAAGGTTACAGAAGCTGGTTTTTTAATTTTTTATTTCCAAGGAGCAAATTTGATAGATTTTCTCAATGGACACAGGTTGAATAAGAGAACTTACTAGAAAGAACTTTTAAATGCATTGGTGAGAAAAAGGACAAGAAAGTTGTGCTGAAGAATTTGTTTCCCCTATCTGAATAAGAGAATTTTGTTAGGAAACTTTACCCTGATCCACCACCAACCTAACCCTGACTTTGCCTCAAGACTTTCGTTCCCAAATCTGCAAAAACCCCCCCCAAAAACCTCAGAAATGTATAGATCTAGAAAGAGGATGTGCTTAGAAAACAATACAATTGATTGGTGTATCATGTACAAACACCACCAACCTTTTGCCAAGTTTTCTAATGTATACTCTTTTAGATTAGAATCTGCTAATAACACTTTTTTCCTCCTTTTCTTGGTTGGTAGTGAGTGGGAGGATAAGAAATGATGTTACCCTTTATCTTTAAAAATCAGATAAAACAATGTCATTTAAACTAACATTTTGTACAGATTTTACCCTATTTAAGTGGTGCAGTGGCCAAAGTGCTTAGCTACCACACCAACTAAAAAGACAGTGGTAGGAACCCACCAGTCACACTCAGAGAGAAAGAAGCGACAGTCTACTTCCAGGAAGAGCTAGTCTTAGAAAGTCTACAGGGCAATTCTACTCTGTATTTATGAAGTTGTTAAGAATCAGAATTGACTTCAAGGCAAAAGTATAGTTTTTGGGTCCTGGTGTGACGCTGTAGGATAAGGACTGGATTGCTAACTAAAGGTTGACAGTTCAAACCCACAAGCCACTCCTCAGAAACACTGCATAGGGCTACAAAGAGTCAGACAGAACTGACTAGTAGTTGGCATGTTGTTGTTGTTGTTGTTAAGTGCCATCGAGTCAGTTCCGACCCATAAGCACCCTAAATAACAAAGTTAGACAATGGGAATAAAGTCTAGGTGTGGCGTTGTAGAATCATTGCTGGACCGGAAGGTGGATAGTTCAAACTCACCAGCCACTCTTCAGAAACCCTACACAGGGTCATTATGAGTTGGAACTGACTGGACAGCACTTAACATGTTGGCTCTAGAGGGTAAGTACTGGACCAGGAACCACAGACCTGTGATTCAAGCCCATCAGCCACTCTTCAGTAGAAAGATGAGGCTTTCTGCTCTTGCGACGACAGCCTTGGAAACCCTATGTAGGCTCCTGTGATTCAGTTCTGACTTGACAGCACTCCATGAGGTTGGTACTATTACAGTCTACATTTTGGGGATGAAGGAACCCTTAGTTGATCTGCATTGTTCTCCCTAATTGAAAGGCCAATTTTAAGATTCCTTCCTGCAAAACTATGATTCTGAAAATGAGTAAATTTACAATGGTTTTATTCAACAGCTTTTCAATACTTACCACCTAATATTTTTCAGGCACTGTATCTCCTAATAATGAACTTAACCAGTAGTGCATCCTTGTCTGACAGACATGGAAAAACAAAGGGATCATTTCAAAGGCCTTCTTTTCTTAGTTAAATCCAATGGAGTATTTTCAGTTCTTGGCTGTACTCACAGAAGCTGAGATGTACTAGCTTAGAAGTAGTGATTTCATAAATGTCAAACTTCTAAAAAATGTATGAACTACACAAAAGTATTTTATTCTGCCCTAGGAGGTTTAATTTGTCATCACTTCAAGAACAATTATTATAAAACAAATTCAACTGACAAAACTGAAAAACAAAAAAGAAAGGTGGTTCTCAAGCCCAAGCTTAAATCCTGGCATTTTTGCCCCCAAATTAAGGGGTGGGGGCACGGGAGGACGATGACTAGGACCCTTCCCAGTTATAAAGGATGATTGCTTACTAATTGTCAAGTTTCCCTACTAGATAAAAATCCTGATCCCTATCATCTTGCCATATATGCCTATCACCAAAACCAGGGAGTTTTCCGTATCTGTAAAACGGAGGAAATAATAAGCTTCCTTATCAGGGTCCCTATGAGTCAGAACCGACCCCAGGGCACACAACAACGACAACATATTATGAGAAAAGTAACCTCTCCCTATAGTATATGTTACGTGCTTAGAACTAAACCTGGTACATAGTAAGGGATACAGGAGACATTTTAAGTGTTGCAAATGCCTGAAAATAAGATCTGTGACAATTTAGTTAACATGATTATGTTTTCAGTTGCAACTGAATCCTTCAAGATAATGCCCGTCAACTGGGTTGTCCGACGTTCCTTAAAGTCCTGGGCAGCACGTGCCTAGTTTGCCTTCTCTAGTCGCTTTTTGTCAACGGAAGGCGGCCAACATTCCTAAACCGCCTATTGGCCCACACCCTCTGGCCAGGCTGTGGGTCGGATGCAGTTGCTCATTGGTCGCCGCTTCTCAATGAAGTGGCCACGCCGGTTCCTCCGCAGCACCGTCACACTAGCGCGCGGAGGAGCCGCGGGAACGCGGTGGAGGGTTCTAGGAAGGCATGAGGTTACCAATGGTGTGAGGGCCGCTGGTAACAAGGCCCAGGCATCTTCGTTAATGCCTGCACTTTTAACTTGCACTTGGATTCCTAGCAAGAACATTAGAAAAGCCTTTCCTTTTCTGCAGGATCAGCCCAGAAATTCTCCCTTGCGTGCTTGCACATGAACAGCGGCTGGGGCCCCTGACTCCCTACCTTAAGCTTAAGGCATTACGTCCAGGGATAGAAGGGCCGCTGTCCCATAACCGTAGCAAACCCGAGGCCACCCCACACCTCCCCTCTGCTCTGCCGAATCCGGCCGACTGAGTTTAACAGGTTACACAATCCAAGGTCAAGAGACTCGGGAGCAACCTTAGGTGGGCTTACGGCCACGTCCGCTGGCCGCCGCAGGGATCACGTCGTCCGCCCAACCGCCCCAAAAAGGTTTTGGTGCAGAGCACGTTGAGGCGGCGGTGGGGCCCAGCCACTGCGACACAGCCGCTCCCGCCCAATCCCTGCCACATGCCGCCAGGGGGGACGCGGGAGGGAGGCCTGCCCATCCAGCCCCTCAACACAGGGCCCGAAGGGGCCCCCTCCCCTCGGCGCCGGCGCGAAGAACCAGCCTGGCTCGGGCTCCACTCCCTCCCTCCTCCATCCCCCGAGGCGGGCACGCCCGAATTAGCGCCTGACTAAGCCCGCAGAGCCACACCTGCCGGGAGGGAGCCCGCGCAGACCCCCAGACTCCCCCACTCCGGAGCCAGGCCGCCAAACTCCAGAAAAGGTTGGAGGCGCGGGCCGCCCAACCACTCCTAGCGGCGCCGCCCGCCCCACAGGGGACGTTACCTGAGCACGCGGCCGCGCCGGCCCCCTCCCCTCGCCGCTCCCCTCCCCCAAGGGCAGCGCCCGGCCAGGCAACGGCGGCATGGAGCCGGCGCCGGTCCCGCGTGGACGCGGCCGCTCCCCCCAAAACCCAGCACTCGCCTCTACGGACCCCAAGACAGCCCTCCCCCGTGGAGCGGGCTCCATCCGAAGGTTCCGCGAGCCCGGCCCCCACCCTCTCCCCTATCTGGTGCCTTCCGAGCGGCGACAGCCTCCAGACCCGGATCTGTAAGCTAGGAGAACCCCGAACACCGACCTTGGGATGGTGCGAAGATCCCCAGATCCTTGGTTTGCGTCGGGCTGCTGCCTGGAGAACCAAACCTCCAGCAGCTTTTCGGTCCCTTCGAAAAAATGTGCAGCTTCCATCACCGTGAGACTAGCGAACAACCAACAACCACAGAAAATCAACTAAATTAAATCTCTCTCCCGCCGCTGCCGCCGCCGCTGCGGATTGTTCCAGCTGTGTTTAAAGTTCAGGTTCCTTTTTTTTT